AGATGTGATGTGAGCGTTTTTATCTTGTAGGAACAATACTCCATTGAGTATCTCTCCATTCTTTGTTTTCTATCATTTTAAGATCAAAGTGATAATTCAATGATGTGTTGTCGTTTAAGCCTCTTGGGGTAGTTGACGCTGGTCAATTGTACTGCCAGACAATTTGGATGAGTAAGAAGGCGCTCTTTGTATTTGGCCGAGTATTGCCTTATTTCGTCCTTGACTGTGCAAACTCCAAGTTCATTATGGAGTTCAGTTGTTTTTATGAACCATGGCGCATTAGATAGATTTCTTAAGATGCTATTTTGTGCTCTTTGAATAATTTCTATACTGGAGTTACAGGCTGATCCCCACAGCTGAATACCATATGTCCAAATTGGTTTTAAGACAACCTTGTAAATAAGGAGTTTGTTATCAATGCTCAGCACAGAGTTTCGTCCAAGTAGCCATTGCAGATTCCTGTATCTGATGTTAATTTGGTCTCTTTTTTTAAGCAAGTGGTTCTTCCATGTTAGTCTACGATCTAAGTGCATACCCAAGTATTTAACTGTATCCTGGTGTGGTAGAATTTTTCCTTCCAGTTTTACAGGTGGACAGTCTCCTTTACGAAGGGTAAATGTGACATGAACAGATTTCGAAGAAGAAGCTTTGATTCTCCATTTCTTTAACCATTTTTCTATTTTGTACAGCTCCTGCTGCAGAAGCTGGTTTGCTTCCTCTGGATTCTTGCTACTAGCAAGAATGGCAGTGTCATCTGCAAATGTAGCAGTTAATACTCCAGTGGTTTCTGGAAGATCCGACGTAAATATGGTATACAAAAGGGGTCCCAACACCGATCCCTGCGGTACTCCAGCCCGTATTTTATAGAAATTGGATGAGTATTCCCCGTCTCTTACGTGAAAGATTCTCTCAGAAAGGTATGATTTTACTATACCGAAGAAGGTATGTGGCAGCGATCTTTTGATTTTGCAGAGTAAGCCATTGTGCCAGACTCTGTCAAAAGCTTGTTCTATGTCGAGGAACGCAGATGAACAGTATTCTTTTAATTCCAGGGATTTTCTTATTTGATCAACAACTCTGTGTACTTGTTCCACTGTTCCGTGTTCTTGTCGGAATCCAAACTGATGGTCAGGGATTACCGATCTTTCAGATTGGGCGTCCAGCATGCGTACCAAAAGTATCTTTTCAAATAGCTTTGAGATGACCGGTAGGAGGCTGATAGGTCTATAAGAGCTCACTTCATTAATGGGTTTTCCTTCCTTGTGTATCATTATAATTTCAGAAACCTTCCAAATACCTGGATAGTGGCCGGTTCTCATGATGCCATTAAAAAGTGTCGATAGGTACACTAAACCTTTTCTTGGCAGTTGGACTAAGACTTCCTTACATATTTCATCAAAACCAGGTGCTTTTTTATTATCCAGTTTTAAAATATACTTTAAAACTTCTTTAGGGTTTGTCGTTTTTAAAGGCAGGTCCATCTGTAGATCTTGGTTTAATATGGCTTCAATTTCTGGATCTTCACTATTTGTACCTTCGTTTGGTTTGAAAACATTAGATAGGTGGTTGGCAAAAGCATCTACTCTTTCCTGAGCTGTTCTTGCCCATGTGCAATTTTGTAATTTGAGAGGTGGTCGGGTTCGCTTGGGTTGATTAAATCGCAGTAGCTTTCCAAAGGGAATAATTGGATGACCTTGTTGGTGTCAACGACTCTAAGTATGAGGTGATAGTTTTATTTTCAGCGTCCTTGATTAGTTCTCTTAGTTCCACTATAGCTTTGTTTAAAGCTTTTTTGTCTACCTCAAGCCTGCTGCAGTGCCAAACTCTACGAAGTCTTCTTTTGTCCTGGATTTTCAATCGAATAGTTGCTGGAACGCTGTTGTGTTTTGGATACTTATTTTGTCTGTTTGAGGTTGTTAACCAGCAGGCAACTTGTATTAGATTTGTAAGTTTGGTTGCAGCCGCATCGATGTCATCTGGGGTTTTAAGTGCAATTTTCAATTCCAGTCTTCTATCTATGATCTCTCGAAAAGAGTCCCAATCGGTACTCTTGTTGTATAATTTAGGGGTTATCTCATATTCTAGCAACGTGGTGCTCAGCGTAAGTAGAACTGGTGTGTGGTTTGAGGATTCATCCAAACACGCATCCGTTTTAGAGGCATATTGCGACATTCCTTTGCAAATATAGAAGTCTATTATGTCTGGCAGTTTATTCGTGTCTGTTGGCCAGTGCGTTGGTTCTGAAGTAGAGAGCGTAACGAGGTGGTTGGTGTCTACAGCTTGTTTAAGTTGTCTTCCTCTGGTGGTAGCTGGTAGCTATCCTCGAACCCCAATGGGGGTGTTTGGAATTCCAGTCTCCTCCGGCTATAAATCTTGGAGCCAAGGTCTTAAAGTAATGGGAAAAATGGCATTGTTTGATATTATGTTTTGGCGGACAATATACTGCTGATACGTTAAAAGTTGCCGTTTTTCCCTGCACTGCTATTGTTGCGACTTGTAGGTGTTCAGTTTCATATGGAGCTAGTTTGTGATGTTTGATTGCAGATCTTACAATTACAGCAGCTCCACCATGAGCAGTTCCATCTGGGTGATTAGAGTTATAGACAGTAAAGTTTTTAATGTTTACCAAGCTTTGGTTAGTAAAATGCGTTTCAGAGATGAGGAGAATATCCAGTTTATGGTTATCTAATAACAATTTGACTTCTTGTAGATTTGGAGCAAGTCCATTAATGTTCCACGTAGCAATATTGAGCGCATGATAGGTCATTTTGTCAGTTTTTCGACTAGAGTTACAATGAGGGTCATAAGCGTGCTCATTTGATTAAATAGTATATCCATTTTTTCCATTTGTTTTGTTATTAAGTCCTGACAAACTTGGGCTAGCGTAGAGTAGTCTGGTGTCGTCTGTTGTTCGTGCAGCTTATTTGGCAAGTGCGTGTTGTAGGCGTTGTCTTTTCTAAGGTCTGGCTTGTGTGGATTTACCCTATCGTCTTCCTGTCCAAATTGGCGCTGTGCTGTTCGGGGATAAGTTACTTCAGAGTAACTTCTCTTTTGTTCAGGAAGCTTCTCCGTAGATTTACATTCTTTTATGTTCTTAGTAGGTTTCATAGTGCTAACTTTGTTTTTATTAATAACTTCTCTAGTATTTTTAAATGTTCTGGTTCCCGTTGCTATCGATTGTAATCCAGGAACGACTTCCTCATTTGTTGTATGACCTGATTTTTGGTTTCTAGGTAAACCTTGTCGTTTATTTTTTCTATTAAGAATTTCTAAATATACTTGACAGCCTTTGTAGTTTGCTGGGTGTTCTCCTAAACACAAAGCACATTTGGCAGGCGTACTTCTATCTTTTTTTATGCAGTCAATGGTTTTATGTTGTCCAGCGCATTTTACACATCGGGCAGGTCTTAAACAATTGTTTTTAGAATGCCCATATTGTTGACATTTTGTGCATTGTACAATAGTTATTCTTTTCTTGGGGTCTTCAATAATAACTGCTGTGTTATAGATATACCTAATACTTTTAACTGCGTGGTTGTTTAGGCTTCGTTCGAGATTAACAAAGAAGGTGGAAGTTGGTCTTTTTTCAATCCCTATTCTAGCGTTGATTATTTCTCCACGCACTGTATTACCGGTTTTTTCGATTTCCTCGATAATGGCGTCATGTGGTGTAGAGTGATGGAGATTTCTTATTACTATCCTGTAGCATCGATCTTCTTTTCTCGTGAAGGTGTGTCCAATAAGCCCCATTTCTCTCACAATGTTCATTAATTTTTTATGTGCATCAACTGAAGTGCAATTGACTCGAAGCTGGTTTCTTGTGATAAGTTTGAGAGTATATTCCGTTTTTGTTAATACAACTTCTATAGTTTCCGTTAGCTTATTCACGTCTTCAATTCCGTATAGTATGAGGGGTGGTGGTCTGCTTGGTTTGATCTATTTCTCAGTGTCCCCTGAAGAATCAGTAGGTAGGATTGAATAACGGTTGCTCGTGTTAATCATAGGTTGTGGTGGTGAGTCTGAAATTCTTTTGCGTTTGTTGGTTCTTATTTTTGGAGCTTTCTGCCAATCCGGTTTTTTACACGTTTGTGGTTGGTCATCTTGTACTTTTTGCCAATCTGAGGGGTAACGCTTTTCTATTAGCAGTTCATCAGTCTCTGGATCTGAGTCTAAACTCAGTACTAAGTTCGGAGAGCCAGGTGTTGTGCTATCTTTAGGCAGGTTTCCTGTGGAGAAGCTTCTCGACCTATTAATAAACAGACCCGGATGGAAGGCCTGTTGAATCATTTTTTTGTTTCCAGTAACATTTACCGCCCAAGTAACACAGGAAGCTTTTTAACGAACGATCAACTAAACTTATTAAAACTTAAAGTCCGTAGAAACTCTTATATAAGTTCACCGACCGACTTGATGCTTTATATTGGCATTTCAAAACCTTTATGATGCTTTTCACTGAGTAACGGTTGCATAACGGCAAATTAGAATGCTTTTGTAAAGCCCTTGGTTTTAGGGCAGCAAATCACAATGCAGCTGTAAGGCTTTCAGATGTTTAAAGTGCATTTGGTTTTACAATAGCATGTTTAATTAGTTAATATATGCTTAATGCTATTAAATAGTCTAAATATGAATCATAATAATGCCACGTATATCTGCTATTCAGTTTTAAGCTATTTTCAGTGCCTTAGGGTCTACAATAACATTTTTAAGTAGTAAGATAATGCCTAATTCTGCTAAATAGCAAAAATTCGTACCATTATAATGCAATGTAAAATCGTATACAGCTTTAAGATGTTTTCTGTGCAATAAGTTATGTAATAGCATTTTTAACTGGTCAGTAAAAGCCCAGAACTGCTAAAAAGCAAAAACGTGAATCAATGTAATGCTTTCATTTAAAAAAAAACAACATGTATTTTGTAGTACAGCTAACAGGCTCGATCAATTCATTTTGTGACTTATTGTGGTGCGAAATATACTGTATCTGTAGCGTTTTATTCTGCAAAATGTTGAAAAAGTCATTCAAAATAAGAGCAAGAACCGGAGGAATCAGGCGAAAAATATCAAAAGAACATGCTAGAATTATGTCTTCTAATTCTACCAATACACGACAAAAAGATTTAGGCGAAGTAAGTTGTGACAATAAAAAAGAAGGTTCCGTAGGTCAAGTAGGATCTGAAAATAAACAGGATACGACATTCTCGTGTTTACAAAAAAATATTGTGAATGAGAATACTCAACAAAATCGTGTTCATTCTAGTCCACTTTATTTTTCTGAAAATGATAGACCTCAGAGCTCCGAAGAAAGTGAAGATGACAGTGATATTGATAAATATGTAAAATGTTCTTCATTTCGTGAAAATATAAGAAGATGGGCAATCGAAAAGAATATTAATCAGACAGCGTTAAAAGATCTCGCGAAAATTATGAATGGATTAATTCCGAAAATATTACCTATGGATCCAAGGACCATTGTAAAAACACCTATAATTGCCAATATAAAAAAAATTGAAGGAGGCGAATATTGGCATAATGGAATCACTCACAATTTAATATTGCTGTTGGAAAACTGGACAGATGTACCTGATAGCATATCTTTAAATTTAAATTTTGACGGTTTGCCAATTTTTAAAAGCTCGAAGAATGAATTTTGGCCAATACTGTGCAACATTTCTGAAAATACTAACATTAAACCTTTAGTAATTGGGATATATTATGGAATTGGAAAACCTAAAAATTTAACAACTTATTTAGAAGATTTTATCGCTGAAGTTAATCATTTATTAGATGAGGGAATCACACTATCGCAAAATTGTGAAAAGAAAATTACAATAAAGATCAGATGTTTTGTTTGTGACTCACCTGCTAGAGCTTTCATAAAAGGTAAGTGTCCTTAATTTTTTCGGTTAGGAAACTGCCCCTTTCGAATCCGGTGGTAGATTTTTAAAATGACGATTCATAAGTGCATCGTTGAAGCCTTCATGAATAAAGAATATTTTGATTTGATTTTACCGCCTGTTCTTTAATTTTTTTTGTGATAGTCCCAAATCAAGAGAGACTTTATGGCTGCAGTCGCTATCGTTGCACTGATTTATAGTCTATTTATAGTCTAACAACGGCAATAAAGGCTTCGGACACGTAGTCAGTTCATGAACACAAATATTTGTACTGTGCGGGATTCGAACCCGCCACCTCTTGGTCTAACAGCGGTGTCACTGCCTCTAGACCACGACGTTGCTAACATCCAGACACAGAACCAACCACAAATGTTCATCACATGAATATTTTTCCTGGGTGGGAATCGAAACCAGGACTCCTGGTTTATAGTTCATAGGACAGGGTCACTATCCACTGAGCGATCGAGCTAGTCAATATCAAAATGCGAGATTTTTTCTTTTAACAATTATTGTATCTGAGAATATATTTTTCAGGTGTTTGTAACTTCAATGGAAAACACGGCTGCATGAAGTGTGTTACTGTTGGTGAATATTCTCACAATTCACACACAGTTACTTTTCCGGATACAATTTGTTCCGAGAGAACAAATGATGGTTTCCGAAATAAGCTTTATGGGGCGCATCATAAGAATGATTCTCCATTGCTAAATCTTCCAATAGATATGGTTAAGGATTTTCCAGTAGGTGATTCATTGCATTTAATTGATCTAGGAATTATGAAGAGGCTACTAGTTGGATGGCGTGATGGTAATTTCGGTAAATTTTTAACAAAATGGCGTGCTAAAGATGTTGATGTAGTAACAAATTCAAGTTACCATCTGAAATTCATCGAGCAGTGCGAGGTCTGGAGCATCTGGCGTTTTGGAAAGGATCTGAATATAGAACTTTTTTGTTCTATCTCAGTATTATTATACTGCCAGATGTACTTACAAGCGACGTATGTGCACACTTTCTGAAGTTGTACTGTGGTGTTACAATTTGTTCAACTGAACGTCTTCTGTATTTGCTGCCATTAGCTAAAGAAATACTAGAGGATTTTGTCAAGCATTACAAAGACTTTTATGGAGCGGACTACGTTACAAGTAACGTTCACAATTTAATACACATCACTGCAGAGGTTGAACGATTTGGACCGTTACACTCTTTCAGTGCTTATCCATTTGAGAATGAGCTATACAGTATCAAACGATTACTAAGAAATGGAAAAAATCCGCTATCACAAATAGCAAACAGAATAATTGAAGCCACGACAGAGTTTAGTATTCTAAATCCTGAGTTGAGTGAAAAACTGGATTATCCGTTTCTAAAGGCAAATAAGAATGATCGTAGAGTACTTCATTTAAAACAATATGCAGTTTCCTCAAAAACAAAAGACAGATATGTATTGACAACAGTTAACGACATAGTCGAAATAAATAATATAGTTGAAGGACCTACTGGAATTCGTATAAAAGGCATAAAAATGAGTAATAAAGATGATGTATTTACGTATCCCATAAAATCTTCACATTTACACATTTACAAAGTAAAAAATTATGGTAGTAATTCTGATATTGTCCTTGATCCTAAAGATCTACTATGTAAATTAGTATGTTTGCATCATCGTGAATACTTATACTTCATACCATTATTGCATACGTACCAATAAAAAACTTTATCATAATTACTTAAGTTTTCTATTTTAAATTATTTAAATAACAAATATTTTACAGTTATCGTCACCTTCTAAGTACGAAAAAGTAGGTGGACCTATCAATACATCATTCGCGTCTGTGTCTGAATTTTCTTCCATTATTGATGATTCAGCATCGGCAAGCTCATATGTTGGAATATTGTTCCTTTTCAAAATGCAGGACATTAATCTCCATTCTTTTTTATCGGGTTTGGATCGCTCATCTTTACCACCATAATTCACCATTTTCCTCCCACATATAAGGTACAATGACTAGTGTTGCTCTCCCTCTCTCTTTTGTCTGTTTTGTACGGCATGTTGGTTAGTACAATATTGACTGAAAATAAGAAAAATTAAAATTATCAAAAAACGTTACCCATAAAAAAAGATAAAAAAAAAAAACTGAATCACGTATGGCAAAAGACACGCACGAGCACAACCTTCAGTTATGCGAGTCAGTTAGGTACTGAATCAGAGGGGTGATAGTTGCTAGTAAAAAAACCAAGGAAAAAAGAAAGAAGCGCCATCTAGGTACTTTAATTAACACTGAAACTTAATTTGTTTAGTGTTTCTAGCTTTCAATTGATGCCACTGTACGCAATATACGCTATGTATGAAATCATTTTACTATAAATTTATGTATATTAGACAGATGAAGCAAAACAGAACTACTGAAAATAATGTTTTATTAAAATAATGTTGGATTTTAGTTAGGCAGCACCCGATAGGATAAAACGTAAATCGCTGCGCTGGCAACATAACGTACCGCTTGCGCATATGTATGGTGTATTTTTTTATTTCCTGTTTTTGCTATATTTTCTTATTCCAATCGTTGAGTTGAGTCTAGTTATTTAATAATAACTCAATGCATTTCAATAAGATACGCGGAAGAATATTTATTTATATAATACGTTCAGAAAGTATTTTGATAACTCATAGCAAACAGATTCAAGTTTCAAGAACAGCAAACAGGTTTTATTGTTTTGCTTAAGAACCCCCAAAATTGGGTTCAAGTAATGGCACTATTTCAGTCTACATGAAGTCTATTGGTATACAGGTGAACCCACATAGGACTACTTTATATACAATGGCACTGCAGTGGTTCATCTAATGTCTTATCTTTAGCCAATGGCTTAGTAATTGTTCACGCGTGGATATTTATACTGCTGGCAGCATTAATTTGTCTTTTTAAAGACTCACCGGGCTGCTATAAATTCGACACCATTTTGTAAATATTTTATACCCAATAAATATTATCATTCGGGCTGATTTAAAAAGAAATAAGCCTATATCATAACTAAACAACTTAATTTAATACTGCCCAACCAATAATATAAGGTTAATTATGCAAAATTCATTCTATATTAGGAACTCACAATTTGTTTTGGTTTTAAATACATATCTTTAAATAACATTTAATATGAAAACCACAAAATATCAAAGGCGCGTGAAAATTTTCAATGAAACTTATATAGACAATTACACTAAACTACACTGCGCAGTAATATTTGAAGGTGAGAAATAACAAAAAAGTCAAAAACTTACCCAGTGTTATATATTTAGTTTTCTGAATTCCCAAATAGCACTTCACTCAGTTTTGTTTTTAGGGAGTTAAAGTAAAATACAACGTTTTTTTATTATAACATTAAGTCCCACTTATTAAAGGCGTTTTTGCAATGATGTAGGGTTTATTTAAATTCTAACTGTGAACACTTAAATAGTTATAATCATGCTTCTACTACGTTTTAATGCTAGCATAATGCTTTTGTAATGCAATTAACATCTTAATTATCAATAATATTGCTAGCATAATGCTTCTGTAATGCGATTAGCGACTGTTTGACCTTTATAATGTTTTTATAATGCGATTGGTAGCTTCCTTGACCATAATAATGCTAATAAAATGCGCCTGTAATGCAATTAAGCAACTATTGTGAACCCATTTAGGATCTAAAGCTTTTTAATTTGTGCCCAAATAAGCATTACGGTAGCCGTATAAACGTTTATACGGCTACTGTAAAACTAATATAAAATGCTCAAACGATACAGAAATGCTGTAAGTCGGCCGTTATACTGCTTTTATGTGTTACTTGGGCGACATAGAAGCCTGGTTACCTACTCCTGTGCAGTCTTCGGTAGCTAATTTCACACTCTCAAGCCCGGGTACCTGAGAGCGCCGGGGGTTAGCCGGATCGCATGACATATCAACTTCAATATTGGACATTTTCATTATTGGAGGTGGGAGGAATATACTAATAGTGCTTTCCCAAGGCACTATAACCGCAATGTTCATAGGGGATTTAGTCCCTAATGGCTTGCAGTAGCCATGAGTAGACAGGTTATTTGACCGCCGCCTGTGGCTCGGCGTTGTTGCTTGTTTAGCACCACCCGGGGGACACGTGTAGGGTGTTTCTAGGACTAGATGGAGAATCCTACGGACGCAAGCAACATCATCCCCCATGATAACATAATGAGAACATTAAAAAAATAAAATGAATGAAATAAAAAGGACTTTTTAAAGTGTTCATGCATATCGCCTTCCCTAGCAGGTACTCCGGATATCTGGGTCAGACTTGCGAGCTATCTTAGGCCTCCTCCTACTATAGGTATTTCGTCCACGCTTCAGCGAGTGGGCTGAAAAGTTCGTACGCCTTATCTACACTAATATTATAAAGAGAAAAACTTTGTTTGTATGTTTGTTTTTTTGTAATGAATAGGCTCAAGAACTAATGGATCGATTTTTAAAATTCTTTCACCATTCGAAAGCTACATTATCCACGAGGATCATAGGCTATATTTTATTTTGGAAAAAATAGGGTTCCATAAGATATTTGACTTTTTCGGACACAAGGTGTAAAAATCAACCAGAAAAGTTATATATTTTGCGTCCGCTGCCCAAACTATAAAAGACAGAACCGTAAAATGTTCTAAATAATTGAAGATCTTATAAATATCTTTTTTGTAGATAGACCGCGACACACTATACCTATCTATCGGTGAGTTGCACAACCGTCCATTAAGGTTAATTGGCGTCATTAAGCTCTAATGAATGTCAAATTTGTATGGGTAATGTCGCTTTAAACTAATGATAATTTTAATGAACGTTTGTGCAACTGGCTGTATGTCAAGTGAGGCACAACAACCAATTTTTATTTATAAATCTTGAATTTTTTTAGATAGTATTTGATCTTTGAATGATTAAAATTGGACGTTTGCTTTTGAAGTTATGGCGAAATTAAAATATTACTATGAGTATTTTTGCTGCACGGCCCGTTGCGGAGTGGACGTCACCAAGGCGGGGGTGCGCGTGCAAGGGGGTGGGGGGGAGTTAAGATCTATGAGTAAGGTACCAGCGGACCACGCGAGCGAAGCCGCTGGCAGAAAGCTAGTCGATATATATCGATAACAAACAATCTAATCTTTCCACTTTATAATATCGGTATAGACATCTTATTGTACGCATGCAAGCCTCAGTATAGAATAATTATAATAATTTTTCGACAATATTTATGAATATTCATTGTAATTGGCGTCACAATATTCACAAAGTTGTGCGGTTATTCAATGTCTAAGCTTACAATATACTTCTTTGTTTACATATACTGTACAGTTTACAATAACAATTAGCTGTTAAGGAAATTACCTAGATATTTGCGTCATTAGCAAATAAATACAGGGGGCCAATTCAGTATACAATTCCAGCTAAAGCAGAACTGGAATTGTATCGTATGCCACTTTTTAGAATAGGAAAACCATTCAGTTTCGATCCGTTTTAAACAAAATTTATTTAGTAGAATTGGCCCCCTGTTAGGGATGCAATCAACAGTTGGAGATTTTGATAATATTTATTCTTTCTTCTTATATTCTATCGCAGAGTTCAGTATTTACAATACAAAGTACGAAAACGTTCGCAGGCATAATTGCATACGATTATGCCACGCTTATGTGGCACTAGCTTTTGCCCTTCCTGACTTCGCGTGGTAAAGTAACTTTGAGCAGCATTTCTAACGAATATTTATTCATTATATCGTGTAAAATACCTGAAATAAAAGTCTTATCCTCTTAGCTTATGCCCTTAGGGGTGGAATTTATCAAAATCCTTTCTTAGGGGCTGCTTACGTCATAGTAGCTTTATGCATGCAAAGTCTCAGCCCTTAAAATTGACAAAGTTTATACAAACTTTCATCCCCTATTTTATCCCCTTGGGGGTGGAATTGATCAAAATCCTTTCTTGGCGGATGCCTACGTCATAACATCTTCCTGTATGCCAAATTTCAGCCCTATCCGTCCAGTGGTTTGGGCTGTGCGTTGATAGATCACTATGTCAGTCAGTCACCTTTGAGTTATATATATTTAGATTATTTTCCCGTGGGAATGCGTCATTTTCCCGCGGTAAAAAGTAGCCTATGTCCTTTCTTGGGTATTAAAATATCTCCATATCAAATTTCATGCAAATCGGTTCAGTGGTTTAGGCGTGATTAAGTAACAGACAGACAGAGTTACTTTCGCATTTAAGTATGGGTTTGATCGATCGCAATTAGCTACTTCTATAACGCGTTAGTTAGCCAATTAATTTAATTCGCTATTGTCGCCCCTTCCACTCGCTGCGGGGATGCGGTCGCGAGGAGATGTTTCTGTGGCCGCCGTCCGTAACAAATACTAAGTATCAATAAATGGATCGACTAGTAAAATGATCTCAGCTAATAAGTAAGACGCACGCAACTAATACGTCTGTTTATACGGATATATACGACCACGATATTGGCAAGAGGGCGCCAAAATCATGTTAATATAATACAGTTAAAAAAACGAGCTTAACAAAAGGTTTTTTAAACATCTTTTTTTTTCAAAATATAGAGCCGACTTCAAACTTTAAAAAAGTTAGAAATATACTTATCTTAAAGGCGACTTATTCAAGAAAATGCTTTTGAAGTCGAGCGGAGGTTTTCTGTAGGTTATTATTAATTAAATGATAGCCGGGACTTCAATAGCAGTTTTCTGAATAACTCGCTTTTCAGAGAAGTATTGTTTCTCACTTTTTTAAAGTTTAAAGTCGGTTCTTATTTATTTTTAGTGTTAACCTTTGTCAAAGGTAACTCTAACGACAAACTGTATGATACTGCACCCAACTAAGTGTACTGTTAGAGAAACTACTTTCAGTTAGTTATATCTTTATATTTCTTGCTATTACAACTTCACTTCTTAGAATCTAATTTATGCCTCCACTCTGCCATCTTGTTCAGTGTTCCCCGCTCTCTCACATTGCCAGCTACATGACATAACACTAAGGAGTTTTGTCGTTTAAATATTCATTAACAGTATAATATCCTTTACTAAATAGTTATGAGTCTTTAATTTAAGCAATGGTATATTCAGAATTTCTGTTGGCATTTTGTTACAGTAGTATATACTTGCCCCATAAATGTTGCTAGAACATTCTTTAGCCTGCATGACGGCAAAACAACTTTATCTTTGCTTCTAGTATTAAAATTACACGACCATGTTTAAACGTAACTATCAATATTGTTTCTAACATAAAGTACAAAATTGTATATAAATTAGGAGGCCACAGTCTAAATCCCAATTTTTTTTAATGTATCTTTAAGTGATGTTCTTGAACCTAATAGATAAATAGCTCTTAGCTGCTCTTTTTTGTAAAATAAATACAGATCCATTATCTACAGCCGGTACCCCACAGGAGAATACCGTACGACATAACGCTATGGAAACAACTAAAGTATACTGCCCTGGCAGTATCTACATCTGTGAGTTGTTTGATTTTGAGTGAGCTGAACTAAGTTTTCTGGTCATTAATGAAAGGAGGATGGCATTGCAACACCCAAGAAGATTGTTGAATTAACCAACTCGAGGTTTTTATCATTGAAGTTTAATTACTGTAAGTTCTGCTTTTACAATTTTAGCGTTTTTAGTGTTTAGTAGGAAGTTATTAACAGTAAACCAGGTCATAATCTGTGAAAGAGCGTTGTTTAGATCGTCAAAGTTACTTTTACATCGATCAACACTAAACATTAAAGAAGTGTCACCTGCAAAACAATGCAATGTCGCATTAATTTTCGACAAATAATAGAAAATCATTTATGTATGTTAGAAATAGAAAGGGCCCTAAAATAGATCCCTGGGGAACCCCCATTTTCACATGAACATGAACCAGATGATCTCGTACCGTTCATATAGATTCTATAGTTTGAGTTCTGGAACTGAGGTACGAGAGTATTATTATATATTTTTTATTATACTTAAGCCCAGCCAACATCTCTGGCCTGGCACCCCACTCAGTAGCAGGCTTTTGTAATTTCTAACTTCTCATACATTCCAGTTCCCTCTTTTTCTCTAGTCCTTTTATGCTTCATTCCTAGTCTTTCTTTTATCCTTTTTTCTTTCTCTCTTCGAGTGGCCGGGATTGCAACATCTATCACTATTTCTTATTCTACTTATACTATTCTTTTTTATAATAATAAACTCCACTCCTTCTTTTTATTCTTATTCTACTACAATTGTTTTTGGTTATATACATTTTCCTTAACTAATACAGTCCATCTCTGCTGCTTATTTATTACGTTTGTTATTTCTATTGTCTTAATCTGATTTCATTTCTTTATTTTGCTTATTTCTATTTTACATGTTTATATTACTTAATCCTTTGTGCTATGCGCTTTACATTTAATTTGTTTATAGTAGAGGTACGATAGCATTAGTTGAAAGCGTCAGTACCATTGTTCAATGCTCAACGCAATCAAATGCCTTGGATAAATCACAAAATACTCCAAGAGTAATCTGTGACCACTTCCAAGCCTCGAATCAGTGTATTTATTTAATAATTGTTTAAGAATTACTTTTTCGAAGACTTTACTTCTGTAATATTGATATAGATCTATAATTACTAGGGTCTTCCCTATTACCGGTTAATTATTGAAATTTATGTTTCTGTTTTTAGCAAGCAATCGATTATGTGTTTAATTTTCATAAAACGATTTTTATTTGGCAAATAATTGGATAGCCTTAGAATAAAATTGGTTTAAAAATGGTTATTTGCCTTGACAAAAAAAAGAAACTAGTCTACATAAATGAAGATACCCGACTAACTGTATACAGGTCATTTTTGTTAATGTCTATGTAATAATAGCGTCTCAAAAGAACCTCGACTCCTTCCCTTTTACCATTGCACTATCTACCTGAAGTCCAATATTATTAGTGCAATATCTTCCTCACACATCAACGCTGACAGATATATAATAATACTAGCTGACCCGGTGAACTTCGTATCACTTACTTCTTAATAAAAACCATATTTATATTGAAAAATATTGCGTAAACTGACCACTACACGACCATAGATATTGATCGTCAACTGAACGTTTGACAGCTAAGAACAGTTTGTATGGGAAAATCAAATTGTCGTTTTTAGTATTATACTCGCAATTTTGTCATATTTTCTCATCGTTTAAACCTTACCAGGACTTCCGCGAATATTCCAAGACTAAAATTTGTCAAATCGGTTTAGCCGTTCTCGAGTTTTAGCGAAATTAACGAACGGAAATCCATTTTTATTTATATAGATTGTACTTCAGGTAGATAATAAAATGACAAAAGGGAAGTTGAGATACTATTCATACATAAATATTAGCAGAATTGACCTGCTAGTTGGGTTAGTGTGAGTTTGGACTAAAATTAGCGACATCGTGTGCAAGCTCGCCAAAAATGTAATAGACTAAATTATACTAATATTAGAAAGAAAGAAAATACATTTATTGACCACATAGATTGATACAACAATAATACAATATTACACCATTACAGCGAGATTAACAGATGGGTAGGGGACTAGATGCGTTAGTTGCGCATCTCCAGTAACTAGTTAAGGACAGCCTGACCGGTTAGCGCACTGGTCGGGCATTGCATGCCTTTGCCCCGTCTGGGGTGATGCACCCTCTGGAGTGTCTCTGAGAGGTACCCCCAACCCGCAGAGGGACCTGCCCTTTTCAGGGCGGGATTAAATGGGGGCGAACCGCGCGGTGTATGGCCTCCGGGCTGATCCCGGGCATCGCCTTCCATGCGAGGGGCATCGCTGAGTTTTAGTGGGTAAACTGCTTCTAGCTCTTCGGGGGTGAGGCCGCAGGAGTCCCACATAACCCGAGGAGCTCGCGCGGAGTGAAGCGGGTATGCGTAAAGCATGCGTAAAGCAAGCACAAAAAAAAACAGCGAGATTAGGTATAAAAACACACCGGATTGGTAACCTCTTTCTTTTTTGAAGTTAAAACCTCTTTTTTAAGTCAATTTTAAACTGTCACTGGTAAATCTGTCTCGTGCGTTTTACACCCGGTTTCTGAATTGAGAATTTGAAGTTGAGCAATATCTCTCTCTCTATTTCTCGTCTCGAACCATGCTTTAAGCCATTATTAACGTCAATGAAACAAGTTTTCATTACTAATTTATATATTTTTTTATGATCAGTTGATAGCAATTTGATTAAGCTAGGACTTTTTGCCATGTGAAAAATTAAAAACTTAAGTATAATCAGTTGGAATTTTGTACTTTTCTCAATTCAGAAACCGGTCTTAAGACATTAATTTGCTACATAAGTTAGTGAACTAAGTATGTAATATATAATGATGATGGGTGTGCGAGATAAATAGATACATAACTCTTTATTGTTATAATCATCATCAGCCCTTTTTACGTCCCCACTGCAGGGGCTCAGGCCTTCCTTATGGATGGTTAAGGAGGATGGGCCATGACCCTCCACGCTGGCCCAATGTGGATTGGAGGGTATTAACGACTGCAAATGCAGCCGGGACCAACGGCTTAACGTGCATTCCGAAGCACGGAATAGCTTGAGATAATAATTTTTCGGTCACCCATCCCGTGACCGACCCTTGCGAAAGTTGCTTAACGACTACGATCACGGGCCGCGGCGCTTATCCACTACGCCACCGAGCTACTTTATTGTTAACAATACACTATTTACAGAAACAAACATATATTTAACTTAATTAACATGCAAACAATTGGCGGCCTTATCGCTTAAAGCGATTTCTTCCAGGCAACCTTTGGATGGTGAAGGAGATAGTCATTATAACGGAGACGGGGTGTACATGTAAACAACAATATACATTAAATATTTATATAAATATAATATTATATAATAATAATCGTATACATCTATATAAACTAAATATATAATAGTTTTTAAGATACGAGTGCGGAAAGTAAGGTTTTACGTAGCGAGGATTTTCATTGGCACGAATTCGAAAAACCTTTTAAGCTCAAGTTTCTTACAACATTTTTCAATCAACAAATATATAGGTTAATAAAACTAAGTATGTATTAAAGGTAAAAATTATTTGTTAAAATTAAACGTGATATTTGAACATGTTTTCGTGTCATACATTTTTGTTTGTAAATATTCGTTCTAGGCTCCTTGAAATACTTTTGCCTCTAAAGTTTGACATATTTCATCAATTTTTTTAAAATTTCCTTGGTGCACGGCCAAAAAAAGTTAAAAAAGTACTTTTAAGCACGTGCACAGTAAAGGATTTCAGTACATTTTTATTTAACACATATTTAAGCTCACTTTCGGTGTTTACAATGGATTAAAAAATAGCGCTTTATGAGCAACTGCATTGAAAATACATATATTACCATACCTGGAATAATTAATAGTGCAGCAGCAGCAAAGTATTTATTGCGAAAGGTAGAATTTTTACCAACTTAACCACTTACCCTCCGTTGTAAAATTTCATATTAATGTCGTAAATGTTACAAAATTTTCTAGATCCTAAAAAATACACATTAATACTCTTCTTATAACGTGATATTATTAAATATTTGAGTGACTTAGTAGAAAAGAAAACAATACGTTGGTATATTCCTTCTTTTATCATGTTTTAAACAAAAATTGGGTCTTCTCAAGCATCTTGATAATCGCAAAAGAGTTATCCATGAAATTTTATTTATAACATTTATAATTACCAATAAGTTTAGGAAATTCTCTTTGCTCGTTTGGTGAAAAGTCCGGCTAGAATTGATAGCTGTCACAGAAACTGAATTGGGGCAACTGCTGGAATCGGTCCTTCGAGCCGGATTGAAACAATCGAAAAAGCTTCATTTGCTAACCGTACACTGTTATTACCTGAAACTACATTCTACGTCACTGAATTATCGAAAGGCCAATCGTATACCACCAATTTGTCACGGTTAATCACAATAAAATTTATTACTATATTAATTATATATTTTAAATATCTTACATCAATTTATACAGGTGTTTCTTCAAAACATATATAAAATGGCGTCGAGTCTCTTACAGCGCAGTGGATAACAGATACTGAAGTCTGACCACTATAACGTTATGAATTTGTCTGCGGCTATTCTGCTCGGCCTGCTGAGCGTGAGTACTTGTATTTCTTATATCATCATCACATCAATCATCAGCATACGCTCATCAACTGCTGGAAAGACCAATTGAACGCCATCAGATCTTCAGCTACTTCTCATCCCATATCTTATTCCCTTATGGGTTACGAAGCTTAATGTTATACGTTCATCCACTGCTGGAGCGAATTGTCAAGCTCGCTCTTCAGCTTATCCCAAATGGGTAGAGTAGGCTCTATATTAAGTAGACATAACTTTAACGTTTACTGGACTAATAAGTGTGGAAAATTGAAGCTTCTCTGTTATAAAAACGGCTTCGGGCTCGACGTCGAACGCTTTATTGTCATAGCATAGTGATTCGATAGAAATAACCTAATTGAAAAGATTATAGAGTTCTTTTTATTAAAGCTTTTTGTTGTAGCGCTGGGCTCGTTGTCGAATTCGAAGCCGTTTTAATATTATTATAATCATAATAACAATTAATTTCAAATCGGGTGTGAAATAAAATGAAGCCATAATCATTTGTATTAACAATTGAGATAATATTGAAACAAATAACACTATAGACTTTCAAAAAATAGGGTTGCTATAATGCGCCTAAATGACGCTTCGCTAGTGTTAAAAAGGTCATGCCGCAAGAATAAAACTTGATCTAAAAAGACATGGAAAAAATCGAGATAACTATATCGGTAATGTATAGATTCAAAAGGTGGATTTTCAATAAAATTTTCTTAATCGAAACAACCATTTTATTAATTTCTTCTGGTAGATGTTTTATATTAGGGATAGCTTAATGAATGTTAATAGGTTCTGTTGTGCGCGAATTCGCTTGTATATTTAAGAATATTTCACCGCGTATGATGTAGTTTCCCTTAAATTAAAGAATTAATATCGGTCATGTAATTTCGGAGAATTTTCGATAGAAACAAATGTTTACTCTTAATCATATTACTAGCTGTTTTCCCGCGACTTCGCCCGCGTGAATTATAGCCTGTCACCCGCGCATTTTTAGGGGAATCGGAGCTTAATCGATGCAAACAAACAAACAAATCCTTCATGTTTATTATATTAGTAAAGATAAAAACGTTTTAAAAAATTATTTGAAATCAGCTTTGTGTTATCTTTGTTTAGAGCTAATAATGTCCTCAGACTTAGTAACATAGACATTATATAATAACCTTAATATTGTTTTTCTCATTGAATCAGTAATGCTATTGTCTCTTTCTTTCCATGTTTCGTCATAACATTAATAAGTATACTAGCTTTCGCCAGTGGCTTCGCCCGCGTGGACCCTAGGGAAATGTTTAGTGGGATAAAAAGTATCCTATCATCTAAGTCAGCTAATACCTTATCTGTATACCAAATTTCAACAAAATCCGTTCAGTAGTTTCGGCGTGATTGACGGACAAACATCCAAAATAAAGAAACTTTCACATTTATAACTTTTATAGGATTCCTATATAACAACTGGAAGAGCGGTGGCCTCCTGATACAGGTAATATATGTACTTTAAAGGAGGCACACCATGATGTTCTTTATTGTAAATAGTGGAGAGATAATAAATTATATATTACTAGCTTTCCGCCAGCGGTTTCGCCCGCGTGGCATTGTATTATACATAAAAACCTTCCTTTTGAATAACCCTATCTATGAAAAAAAACCGCATCAAAATCCGTTGCGTAGTTTTAAATATTTAAGCATATATACGGATATAGGGACAGAGAAGGCGACTTTGTTTTGTTCTATGTTGTGAATGTTATTATTATATTAGAAATATTAATGCAATACAAATATTATTTATTTATGTACATGGATGAGCAACAGCTTAAAAATTACAAAATTAAAATCTTAGCTTAAATCAGACAGCCACTCACAGGTTGTCATAGATAGATAGATTGTTTAAGAATTAATAATAAACTATGATCTATAAATTTTCCTAATGATCTAATAATTCTTTGAGTTAAGTGTGCAATGATTATTTTGTTTTCTTCTGGTGTTCACCTTCGGTCACTACTGTTCAGGTCTGCGAGCCTAGTGTAGTGATCACTACCTAGCTAAGTAATTGTACGCTGTTTGGAAAATAAATAATATTTGAATTTGAATTTTGAATTAGATATAGTATAAAATAAAGAAAGACCGCTTACAACCACGACAATAGTATAGACTACGCTGCTTACGCTATAATTAGATTTATAACACTATAGACTTTCAAAGCTCGATGGCGTAGTGGATAAGCGCCGCGGCCCACGATCGTTGTCGTTAAGCAACTTTCGCAAGGGTCGGTCACGGGATGGGTGACCGAAAAATTATTATCTCGAGCTACTCCGTGCTTCTGAAGGCACGTTAAGCTGTTGGTCCCGGCTGCATTTGCAGTGGTTAATACCCTCCAATCCGCATTGGGCCAGCGTGGAGGGTCATGGCCTATCCTCCTTAACCATCCGGAAGGCCTGAGCCCCTGCAGTGGGGACGTCAAAAGGCTGATGATGATGATGAGACTTTCAAAAAATAGGTTACCTATAATGCGCCTGAATGACGCTTCGCTAGTGTTAAAAAGGTTATGCCGTAAGAATAAAACTTGATCTAGAAAGACATGAAATCCTAATAATATTTAATTAATCACTAAGGATAGTCCATACAGGAAATAATTCACCGCTCGAATTCCACCTCGTATCTTCATCATCAGCCCTCTTACGCCCCCACTGCCTGCAGCTCAGGCATTCCTTATGGATGGTTAAGGAGAATGACTATGACCCTCCACGCTGGAAAAATGCGGATTGGTGTATTAACGACTGCAATGCAGCCTGGATCAACGGCTTATCCTCCCCTTCCGAAGCGCTGACACCACATTGCAGCAAAATTGTGATCTCAAAAGAGTATTTAAATGTCATCACTCATATCTAGCAGATATAGGGTATGTTCCGATATACACTGCGAGCACTGCGCAGTGGTCTTACTGCTGAAAAATCCATTCCGTTATGGACTGCCAGTACACTGCTACAGTACCCTAGGGAAATTAATGACGTCATAAATTGCCGCCATATTTGTACTGTGAGCACTGGAGATTTCGAGGTAAGGTGCTCGCAGTGCTTTTGATCACGTGATCAGAATCAGAAAATGATAAGTTTCTAAATAAACAAAAAAAAAAACTTACGTTTATTATAAGATAGATTTAATTGATAAATAATTTTTTATACACATTTTTATAATATTTTCTTTTGAAAAGAGGGAATCTTTATTTACATTCACCTTGCATTAACAAATTTGAAAATGGCGCCAAAAAATAGGATTAACAGTATACTGGACTGCGTTCCGTTTTAAAAAGTCACCAGTATAACTAGCTATAAAGGAACGGGCTTCCAGTATACTAAATTGACGTCATACTGTTCAGTGGTCGCAGTGTATATCGGAACATACCCATAATAATATGTGACTAAAGCAGTCTTTCAAAGAAGTATCACATATGCGTACATGTCTAACTCGGGCTTTAATTTGAATCTGTTCTAGAATAGGGGTGTAGATTACCGTTTAATATTTTTATTCTATACATATACAAGAAATATATCTGATTTTTCTTAAAATAAAGTATCATTCATATAATAAGTTAAAATCTAATAATAAATTTAATATTCAAAATTTTCCGCGGAAACGCCACTTCTGTCATGGCGGCGCTATAACGTCAGCGCCATCTGAAACTAATATAGCATAAAATATTTCTATATATAATAAGTATATATCGGTACTAGTATATTAAGTACTACCAGACAAAAAATGTTATTATTTTCGTTTGTGTCTACACCCGGTTTGCGAAAATAAAACCACTCGGTGAAATAAATAGATAAATATTAGATAACAGCTATAGTCCTCAATGATTTCAAGATTAGCTATAGCCCTCAGGGGCTCTTTTTCGCTCAGGGTCAGGGGCTCTTTTTCGCTCAGGCCCTCAGGGGCTCATATCAGTATGAGACAGCGAAAGTACCACAGCACCCAGACCAGAGACAATATAGAAAAGTTCATTTTCCACATTGACCCGACTTGGATTCGACCCTGAGACCTCAGGGATGGCAACACCTTAAAACCTAAAAATTTGGTTATTTTAATAGGTTATATAACCTGTATCTGGATGACGGAACTTCGCTTGGTATTGTTTTTCTTGTAAATTAAACTTAGCTTGACTAAAATTTCAGTATATGATATTTATGTTATATAAATATTTCAGGTCGCCCTGACGCTCGCAGAGCCTCACAGTAAGTATATATATTTTTTTAGGTAATATAAATAAGTATAATATAAACTTCTGTTATATTCTTAATAGTACCAATCCAAAAGTCAAAATAACATTTTATTGATATAAGAACTCTTGAGCATTGCAAATGAACAATCTTAGAAATAAATTGCATTATACATTGTCGAGCACGTGTAGTATAAGGAACTCGAGAAAGTTTTGTTTACACACAAATGTCACTTTTCTCGAGTGCACCCATACAATATCTCACTCTCGAGTCTCGAGCGAAAAAAAATAACATTTAGGTGTAGACTAACTGATTCTTGAGATGCTACGCGAGCTATGTTTCAACGCTTTATTTTAACCAGGGGGCCAATTCTACTAAATAAATTTTGTTTAAATCGAATCGAAAACGAATCGAAACCGTACGAAACTACAGTTTTTAATGGTTTTCCTATTCTACAAAGTGACATATGTACGATACAATTCCAGTTCTATTTTAGCTGGAATTGTGTCGTATTTCACTTACTTCCAGTTCTATTTTAAAAATCCAGACCCGAATTCACTTAGGGCACTTGAGTGAATTCACTTCAAAAAGCGGCATCCGCTCAACCTTGAACTGCTAATAACGTTTCATGGCATAAGTGAAATGAGTATCGAAATGACATAGGAATATAATATCTGAGACAAGTATATTTAATCAATTATGTTACTAAATGGCGTGAATTCGAACACATACGTGAATTTGAGTTCTGGTTGGGATTTTTACAGAATCGCAGCGCTGTTAGCACTGCGTTACGTGCTACGAAACCACATAGGCGTTACGACGTAGCTGCAATCTGTAGCTACAATGTTTTATGGACAAAAATAAAATTTGCACAAGTGGGAAAATGTCTGTTTACGGCATTACATATCGCTGCTGCAACATTAATATGCACTTAAAGTTGCTTTACTGATCTGTAAAGGAAAATAATTTTTATTTAGTCCGTATTTCGCGATCTAAACGGAATTTGTGACATTACGGAAGCACTATCATACTCCCCGTCATAAAAAAAAAATAAGACAAATTCGAGAATAAGAGATTTGTATTTACGAAAATACATAAATAAATAAATTGTATTAAAATTTAGCAGAATAAAGTCCAAAAACTTATCGGTCTTGTGTGTTTGTTATTAGGAGGGCCAAGAAAAATCAACATCGAATACAACGGCCAGCACCATGGTAATTAAGGCGTAGGCTGTAGGAATTCGCCTTAGAAATATCTTACAGAAAAATACTTAAGGCAGTTTAGATAGATTCCTTGGACATTTATGAAAATACACTCAATAGTAGGGAAAGTTACGTTTGCTCGAGATGATGGTCTCAGATACAGTGAGATACAATTGACATGGCTGATGTGTTTACTGCGCAGAAGGATAAACCAAACGCGGCAAATGTCTACCAATCAAAATGTTTCAAGTATCACGCCATCAAAACTATCCACCAATAGCCACGCGCTTGAGCGCAGTTAAGTGCGAATATGGCTGATACATGATGCGTTATATTTTAAACCTTATGGCAATGAGGAAGTATTTAAAAAAAAACGAAAGCACTAAAAAAGCACCTCCACAAGATGGCGACTCTAGCAAAAGTTGTTTTTGCAGGAAACGAATGGACCAAAGACAGTCATTTCCGTTCCTTTTAAGTAACATATTAAAAAACTGAAATTTGAAAAGTTCGAAACTTAGAATTGAAATTGAAGTAAAAACAAAACGCATCTTCTTCTTCTTTAATTAATGGCTTATCTGCGCATTTCGCACAATTCTGCCAATGTCAAGTGAATAAATAAATTTCTACATGTAAAATGAAAATGAAATGAATGAAAGATGGCGAATTCAGTTATGTTTCTATTATCTGACTGATGGACTAAATAGAATTTCTTTTTTTACAAAATGTAAGGAGTTTAGGTTCTCAAGATTCAGCCTTGTTTTTGTATAACTGCCAATCTTTTTTGTATTTTTCTATAAGATATCTGTATATATCAATGTTGCATTGTGAATTCCTATTAAGTTTTATAATTACTATTTTTTAAATTTTTGCAAAATCATGGGTTCGAGAGTTCCATCTCAGAGTGCCAGGGACAAAGTCGATTTTTTGACCAGTTTTCATTAAGAATATTTTGCAGTACAGCATTTTGGATGCAAAATTTATTAAATATAGTAATTAGAGAAAATTCTCATCTTTATCAAAAGTCTAAATATTTGTAAAATAAATATACATATCTTTCGGCTGTTTGGGTGGATTGCCTGAACATTGATGAGAATACGCTCTGTAGTAGCGCAAAAGTAGCGAGTGCTTGAAAAATTCGTCAATCCTGTTAGATCCTGGATAGCTCAGTTGTTAAAGCAGTTTCCCGAATTGCGGAAGGTCATGGGTTCGAGTCCCATCTCAGAGTGCCAGAGACAATGTGGATTTTTTAAGCATTTTACATTTAGAAAATAACTTTTAGTTTTTTTTTCTTCATATTTCTCATATATAACTTTTCTTACAGGTGGAAAACGAAAAGTAGTCCACACGAGGGTTATAGAGCAAGAAGTGCCAGTAACAGAGACCGTTTACGAAACAAGATCCGAACCGGTAACCGTAGAGACCACCGAAACCGTTTACAGGACGAAATCCGAACCGGTGACCACGGTGACAACCGAAACCCACGTGATAAAGAAAACTCAACAACAGCAAAACGAGGAGACGACTCAAACTCAGCAAGAGCAGACGACCTCGTCGATAGATCAGTCGATACTGTCGCTTCTGGAGCCTGGCTCTACTGAGTTGAGTAGTGATGAGACGACGACGAACACCCAAACCGGTAATTCTGACACTTCTAGCGACTTGTTCGCACAACTCGGTAAGAATAGAGGCGGTTTTTTTTTATTTATTTTTTAACCGTTACTTAGTCCGGAAAAATCCGGAATCCAATAAAATTCTAACGAACCGGTTCGTACCGGTTGGTGCTTTACATTACATCGGCTTAACACGCAATAAATCATTCTTATTTGAATTTTGTATTGTGCTTTTAAAGTGTACTTTTCAACGTTTATAATATCTGGACTTAGTTTTCTTTTTTTTTTGCCGCATCAGTTGGTTAGTTTGGGTCGGTCAATTTTGCAAGTTACATTTCACCCAATTTCTCTTTCGATTTTGCTGATATTTTACAAAATGCCACAATATATCTTTCTCAACTCTACCCTCAATGTATTCAGGATAAAATTCAATTGAAGAATTTTGACAGATTTGTATAACCTAACATTGATTGTACAAAAGTTCTTCTAGTCAGTCAGAAAACAGTATTTGTGACGATATTTTTAATGATTATTTACTGAAAACCAGCATTTGCACCACCAGCACCAGAAATCGCAAGCAAAATGAAATATTTATTCGGTACACAAACAGAGGTACAATAACGTCAACATATAACAATCCAGCATGTCAAGTTGTAATTCCAATGACATGTGTACTCAACATATTTGACCTTCATCAGCAACTATTCTATTTAAAAAAAAACCTTAATTACTTTTTGAAGTAGGTTTTATTGTTTGAACCAGTAATGCTGTACAGCGCTATGTTGCTGAATTTTTAACAGAAAAGCATTGCAGGAGGCATCGATATATCATACTGTTTAATTACTTTCATTGAAATAATACTTCATTTAAATTATATGTTTGCAGTGGACTCCGTCGATGACTTCTCTGAATCTATAAAGAAAGCTTGCGGATCTAAAGGTAAATAATGTAAAAACAGGTGCAGTTTAAACCGGTTCTGTGTCGTCCATTTATTACGTAATCATACCGGTAAATAAACCGGTTTTTTATTCCCCCTCTTATGTAAGAAAAAGTAAGAATCGGTCGATATCCTTAGGGATATGCCGGGCTAATAACTCTAACGTAAGAATATATGGGAAACAAGTTTTCTTTTATATTTTCCTTGATTTTTTGTAGTTGTAACTTTATGGGTTTTACGATCTTAACATAAGAACTAAGAACACTTTGAATACACATTGCCTTAATTTGAAATTTGTATTAAGAATTGTCTACGCAGCAAAGGATATACCGCTAATGAATATTTAAACGACAAAACTGTTTGGTGTTAAATATGGGTAATTTATATGTATATTAAATTATTTATCGGTCAGCTTGTTTGAGTAGACATGTGATTCGAGTGACGTAAATACAGTTTTACTTTTACATTTTATAATATTGTAATGGAAAGTGACTTCATATTTTAATGAAGTCATGTTTTCAATCACGACGCTCTGTATGAAATAAAACAGGAAGAAAAAAGCAGCCCTTGCCGAGTTTCCTGCCGGTTTCTCTCGGTACAAGGCCTCTCGCCGTAGATTTAGAAATCGATGGTGTAGCTCTCGACTTTTACAAGTGCTTGTAACAGCCTAGAGGGAATAAATAATTTTGATTTGATATCAAAAGTTCTTATTTCTTCCAAATTCTTGTTCGTTTGTTAAAAATATTATATTATATCATGACATTTTTTTAAGTAATTATTTCTCTAGAGTTTATTAAATATTTTGATGGACAAACTAAAAAATCGCAAATCGCGTGTCATTTATTTAGTACCTATCAGTTAATAAACAAGGTTTAGCGTTGGAGTAACTTTTTGCTAAGCTTGCACTTATTATTGGTCAAAATTCATATTATTAAACAGAGACTTGGCAAAGGTTAACCTTGTACGAGGTTCTACGGGAGTTATATTTACTGCTAGAAGGTAGTAGGTTTGCTTATTCTCAGTGTAATATGAATTTGGACTAATAATAAAATTGCAATTTTAGAGTAAATTTACTCTGATGCTAAAACTTTTTTATTAATAGCACTGTATGTGATTAATCCATGAGTCGTAGAAATGTATGAACCCTACGCGTGGCGTAACGCGGGTCGGGACGAGCGTTACGATAAATGGACGATGTACTTTTACACTTTGATTTATTAATTTTGTTTTTTTTTTAGGACGCAAGGAAACCGCAAGAGTGTTGTTCGCTCTGACTGGTTATAAATGTAAGTGAATCATATTCATACTTAAACTCTTTTTTGTTCCGCCTGGCCAGTGACTGGGGGTGCGTAGGAGTTCTTAGCGTAATCAGCTCCTGGTTGGCCGCGGTATCCTAGTGCCAGAAGCCTTTGTAGAATCTAAAACTTTCTATTACTAAAGTTACTCGTATTAGAGGCTTGTGTCCTATAAATGAAAACACAGGTTTCTAAATAAATTTGATTTAACACTTGGAAAATACACATTTGGAAAATATTACGCAAAGAAAAACTTGAAAAAGTAGGGATATTATACTACAAAAAAATGCTAAAATACATATGGCATTAAATTATTTAGATAAAACATTACAACTCTCACTATAACAGCACACATAAACGCACAAATAACAAAGATATTACAAAGATTTCGCTACCGTACCACTGTGACGTCAGTTAGTGCCTTGAATTTGTAGGGAGCGTTTTCGGCCGACTAGCAGCAGTTCCACAAACAGAACTATCTCCTAAACTATTAATCTGCAGACACGCTGCTACTTCTACATTATTACTCAGATATTAATGGACTATTTATTTGTAAAATAAAAAAGTTGCCAACTAGCAACAATCTTAATCCTGTCAAAACACAACCATTCTTCTTCTTCTTCTTTTATTAATGGCTTATCTGCGCATTTCGCACTATTCTGCCAATGTCAAGTGAATAAATAAATTTCTACATGTAAAATGAAAATGAAATGAATGAAAGATGGCGAATGAAAATAAAAAAAATAATCAAAACAAAACCATTCATTACATTACATAAATTTTGCAAATTTTTGACAACCTCCTTCCCAATAATAATAATTACAAAAAAAAGAATTAGTGGACCGCGTGCCCTAGTAACATTGTTTTAAGGCGAGACTGTACGAAATTTCCACTTTTTAAACCATTATTATTCTAAGGCTATACTAATTATTGCCAAATAAAAATCATTTTATGAAAATCAAACATATAATCAATTGCTTGCTAAATCAGAAATATAAATTTCAATGATTGGCTCGATAGGAAAAATCGCAAAGATCACGCTAAATAGGTTATGTGGATCTATTTTAAGACTAATATTCACTCTGAATTGGGTTTATGGGACGATTTTAAAATAGGTTTAGATATAATTTAAAGTATACAAAAAAAAATAACCGTCTTTGAAATTTTTTTCTATGAATAAAAATGTATGAAATCAAGCGATTGCGTCTATACTCTCCATGCGTTTGTATGGGAACATAAGCGAAGGTACAATAGCGCCTTAACAATACATTATTGAGTAACAGGAAAAGAAATATCTACAATAAAGTGTTTTCTAATATTAGTATCTTAAAAAAGTATAATCTATAACCTGAAACTGGAGACTCTCCCAGCCCTTTGTAAGAAAAAAATCGTATTACGTAATACGGTCTTCACAGTCAAATGGATTGTTGGAAAATTCCCTAGACAGCTTATTAAATATAATTATGTAAAAGCAGCATTAACATTCATATGAATTGTATATTGACGTACATTGCTATCAAGGTAATTAATTAATTAACATTATTTAATCATTTGGTATGACCGCAAATATTTGTATTTTGCACCTGTTTAAATGTTAATCTCTTTGTTTGAAGTGTATTAAATTTTGTCCTTGTTTATACGTTACTGAATTTATTGAAACTGCGTAGTTCGATTTAAACAAAATTTGTCATTTTAAGTATTTTTGTGTATGCTAAATGAGTTTGAATTGATATTTTTCACTCAACATTTGGTTTTCCTGTTATGTTGAAGTTTTATGACATTTCTTCTCATATAGAAACGTGAATAAATATAGTATCATTCATGAAAAATAAAATTATTTAAACTATCAGCGCCATCTATTACAGCAGCAGCATCATGTGTTTTGTTTTTATGTTTATTTTTTATAATTACTTTTTACTTTTCAGCGGAGAAAAATGCAATCGAGTATATTAAGGAAGTAACAAAACTAACCAGTAAGTATTTATATTTCTAGCGAAGGCTTTTTTTAAGAAGTTATAAACGTTGCAAAATTATGTTGCTATAAAATAACAATAAATTAATTCCTTTAGAATCTTTGATCGTAATTAATTAAAGTCGATGGTAGGACGACATTTTTTTTAATAAATAAAATCGAATATATTTTAGTATCGTTAATTTCCTTTCTTAATAGGCACCGAGGAAGTCCAGGACTTCATCAGTAGAATAAGCGGGTCCAGGTCATTCAAAGAGATCATCAAATTCCTTGTGCGATTCCAAGGATCATCAAGTGAGTATATACCTACTTTATTCATAACGTATTTCTTGTAATGGGGGATTATTTAAAAAAAAAAATTAGTTCCCGAAATCAAACTAGATGTCGCTACGGTACATTCTTGATTTCTCCATGACAACTCCTTAATGTTTTGTTTCATGTTTAAAAGTAAATAAGTTTTCAAAACTCAATAAACAACTCATAATCTATTTGTAATTTTTCGTATTTGTATTGATATCTAAGTTTCGAACTTTTCAAATTTCAGTTTTTTAATACGTTAGTTAAAAGGAACGGAAATGACTATATTTGGTCTATTCTTTTCCTGCAAAAATCAACTTTCGTTAGAGTCGCTATCTAGTGGAGGTGCTTTTTTAGTGCTTTCGTTATTTTTTTAAATACTTCCTAATTAAGGGACCGATTCCATAAAACACCGCACCCGAATGAGGAAGTATTTAAAAAAAAAACGAATTTTGTTATAGAATTTAACGAATTTTGTTTTATTATAGTTGTGAAGTAACTGCAGGTCATTAACCTCCAGCGAAATCTTATGTAGCAACTTTTTAATAGACATCTCCTTTCTTATTTAAGATATCACAAATTTAAAATTTATGCTATGATTACAATTTTTTCTGGTGTTATACTAAGTATTTTGTTTAAAGTCTCAAAAATTATAGAGTATATCAGGTTCTACAGAAAAATAAAATAAAAGTTCTATATTTATATATATTTTTTAATTTATTCGCAAACAAATTAGATATTTTATGATTGTTTAATTGCTTAAAACAACAGGTGTCACTATTAAAAACTAGAAATATTTATGTAGACACCTTTTTTTATATTTTTATTTAATATACATACGTGAAATATATCTATTAAATATATAATAAAGTATGATTCATATATTAAGTTAAAATATAAAAATAAATTTAATTATCAAAATTTCCCGCCCGAAAACGCCAACTTCTGACATGGCGTCCCTATGACATCACGCCCCTTTTAAACTAATATCGTTCTATGAATGCATAAGATTTTTGATATGAGTAAGAGGGGCGTGACGTCACGCGATGTTTTCTTTACAACCAGCACAAAAATATTTGTTTTTCATAAATAATTAAAGCAATATTGTAAATAGTACATTTAGCACTACCAGAAAAAGAAGTATATGGATTTATTTTCGTTTACTGCCTACACTAGTACTATTGTAAATGTATGAGATTTGACTAGTCAAAGATAATGCAATATTTGTATTTTTTTTTCAGATGTCACTGTGGTAATTGATATCCTAGTGATATTGACCAATGAAACAAGTGAGTTTCCAAATTATGTTACCTTTTAATTTTATCAATAGGGATGATGACTGGGTAAAAAAATTGCAATTCTATTTAGTCCGTCAGTCAGATAATAGAAAAATATTAGATACGTATTTTTTTTTTACTTCAATTTAACAAGAAATAGCTTAGATAACAGGCATTAAAGTTGAGGAGTGGGGGCTCGCTACGTCACAGTTGAGTAGAAAACGTACTCTAACGTGACGTCATGCGAAATTTCAACTCAATGTAACGCCGTAATTTTATGATTACGAAAAAAATAAAAAAATACGTGTTTAATATTTTTTAACACTCTACCTGACGGACAAACAAACAAAAATTAGTCATCATCCCTATTCACCGTTTACGCAAAAATAATTTATTTAAAAATAAAGATTTCAAAGGACACCCTGAAATTTATGAGAAGCGCGGGACTTTAGAACTATGTAGTTCTATACTTTACATAATTGCTTAGGCGGATTACGGGTGGTTAAGAAGGAGGAGCCATGACCCTCCACGCCGGCCCAATGCGGATTGGAGGGTATTAACGATTGCAAATGTAACCGAGATCGACGCCTTAACGTGTCTTCCAAGAGTAGCTCGAGGTAACGATTTTGGTCACCCATCACGTGACCAATTCTCAAAAAAGTAGCTTAACAACAACGATCACGAGCCGTGGCGAGCTACTTAATATAAATATGTTATCAATTTATAAAATTACATTGGAATCTTTAGAACTGCAAAGCGATTAAAGTGTTTTTTTTTTAATTTGTTACTTCGCAGATGTATTTAAAGCATTTGACGTGATCTATGGACTTACTGGCCACCAAGACTTCGATGGTGTCATCGAAATAATGCAGACTATCACTGGTCTAGACGGTGAGTATTCGAAAACAGTATATTGCGTATCATATTCTTAATTTTAGCTTGAAAACTATATATTGCTAATAGAATAGGACGAAGCGTGGCTTAAAAATATCTATTCACTCTGTCAGTTAGATAAAAAAAAAATTAGATACGTATTTATTTATTACTAGCTTTTGCCCGCGACTTCGTCCGCGTGGTAAAGTTACTTTGAGCAGCATTTGTAACGAATATCTAATCATTATGTCGTGTAAAATACCTGAAAAAAAAGTCTTATCCTCTTAGCTTATGCCCTTAGGGGTGGAATTTATCAAAAACCTTTCTTAGGGGATGCTTACGTCATAGTAGCCTTATTTATACCTACACAATCTCAGCCCGATCGGTTTAAAATTGACAAAGTTTCATCCCCTATTTTATCGCCTTGGGGATAGAATTGATCAAAATCCTTTTATGACTGATGCCTACGTCATAACATCTACTTGTACGCCAAATTTCAGCCCGATCCGTCCAGTGGTTTGGGCTGTGCGTTGATAGATCACTATGTCAGTCAGACCTTTGAGTTATATATATTTAGATTATTTTCCCGTGGGAATGCGTCATTTTCCCGCGGTAAAAAGTAGCCTATGCCCTTTCTTGGGTATTAAAATATCTCCATACCAAATTTCATGCAAATTGGTTCAGTGGTTTAGGCATGATTAAGTAACAGATAGAGTTACTTTCGCATTTATAATATTAGTAAGTATGGAAATTTAATGCATTCACAATGCTATACTGAAAAATATTCTTAATGAAATATGCTTAAAAATCCGCTTTGTCTTTAGCACTTTGAGATGGGACTCATTCACGGCTTTTCGCAATCCGGGCGACTACTCTAACCACTAAGCTACAGACCAAACAGGACTGTCGCATTTTTAAAGCACTTGCTACTTTTTCACTACTACATAGCGTATTTTCATCAATGTTCAAGAAATCTACACAAACAGCCAAAAGAAATATATTTACAAATATTTAAACATTCGATAAAGATGAGAATTTGTTCTAATTATTATATTTTGATTAATTTTGCTTTCACAAGGCTGTATTAAAGAATATCCTCAATGAAAAAATAGTTTAAAAAACTCTTTTATTTGTTTGTTACAATTTAACAAGAAATGGCTTCAAAAACAGGCATTCAAGTTATGGAGTGACTGGCTACGTTACGACAGTGTAGAAAATGTATAAGAATGTGACGTTATGCGACAATTCAACTCAATGTTTCCCCGTAATTCATTGATGAAGCAAAAAATCAATAAATACGTGTTTAATATACTTCAATAATCTGCCTGATGGACAGACAATAAGAAAATTGTTTTCATTCATATTGAATTATTACCTATGATATTTGCGTAACGCCAACTACTACTATAAAGGGGTCTAATACTAAGTAGAGGGTCTACTGTTTGTCCACGAACGAAAATTCGCATAAATACAAATAGTTTTTATATTTTTTGCTATAATAATATCCACGAAGATTATCTGTACACCAGAGTCCGGTTATGGTTTTTTTTTAATGATCAGCGGATAGCAGTTTGATAACTACGGCTATTAGCCTTGTGAATCGTAAAGAACTTAAATTATTTTGTATCATAAATTATAGAAAAATGGATTGTTTAGGAGTCATATTAGCGTTTCGAAAATATACGAAATTTAGTTTCCCGAGAACTATTGCAGCATCGGAGCTAGTGGTTCCCAACTCTCGCATGGGTATAGTTATGCTAGGGGGCGTTACTATGGACCGGGACAAATTATTCTCTTTAAGAATCTTGTCGAAGGCCGCACTATAAGTCGATCATATATTAATAAATCTTTTTGTACCGAGTTTTCCATACGAATCTGAAAATATAATTATTGCTAAATTCTTTTTCAGATATGGACAGACTGGCAGACTTCTTCCGTCATATTTCAAATAGCACTGGTAAGTATCATAGATGCGTATCAATAATTATTTTTTCAAACTTTCATTTAGCTTTACTAGGATATGACTGTGGAATCCCCAGCCAAAATATGAGACAAATTTTAGAGGAATGCTGAATCAAGGATGCTTTGATATGATATATATGAATGATGTTTTTTTTATTTTGCTATTGGTACCTACGATTAAATAAAAACCTTGACGTGTATGGGTCAAATCTTGCAAGCTAAAATCCAGATACCTGGGGCTTAATTTTCTAATTTCTTAATCTATCATAATTTATTATTTGAAAGATATTCACGAACTTCACGCTACAACTGTTTGACATTTGATAGCAATTGCGAAAACGACTAAATCACTATCATAACCGTTATACGTTTAAACCGTTATACGGATTGTGATAGATTTTAAAATTAGACAATTTGGCCGCTGGAAGGATACCACAGGAACTTTATAAGTAAACAACGAAACAGCTTTAGTCCTTAAGATCTTTAGTCCAAGAAAACAGAATCTTACAAAAGCTATTGTTTACAAAAAAATTCTTACAGTTGGAATGGTAGAAGTTGATCCATTTATTTTGCCAACAGGTTGTAATGGCTTACGGGAATACATTAAGAAAATTACTGGAGGAGTCGGCTCCAAGGATTTCCCAGCAGTCTACAACCTCCTGAGCAACGAGATAGGTGAGTAAAAATATGATGGCATTCCACATCACCATCACCAACCTATTAATGTCCCCACTACTGAACTAGGGACTTCCAATTGGAAGGAATCACTGGTCCATCGAGCTCTTCGTCATTTTATCATCATGAGCCCTTTTACGTTTCCCTTTTGGGGACTTCCTTATGGATAGTTAAGAGGATGGGCCATGACCCTCCACGCTGGTTCAATGCAGATTGGTATTAACGTCTGCAAATGCTCGGCATTTACTATAACTTAATTAATTACTTTTTTGCGCAATTGCTGCTACCATTTAAGTAGGCGTTTCCATTGATCAAGCTAAAAAGTTCGCTCACGCACGAGTCAAAAATGCATCTAATTCGCATGACAGATTTTAACCTGACGTTAATTTTCAATTAGCACCTTGAAGTTTATTATGACAGCTTGGTGATAAAGCTAAGGACAGAAAACAGTTTATCCCAAACCTTGAATCACATGCACCCCCGTAGCTACTAAAAACGTAGAAGATTTTCTCCATTGCAAAAACCGTGACAGAATCGCTAATGTAAATAAGCTAGTGTAAATAATAAATATATAAAGCGACATCACATACATTGCTCAGATTCCAAAATGACTGGCTAAAGCCTCCGTGAGACAACGAAAGTACCGCAACACTCAGACCCGAGACCATATAGAAAAGTCAATTTTCTATATTGACGATGGCCTCAGAGATGGCGACACCTTGAAACCAGCTTACGAATCACCGGCCGTTATGTCTTCGAGATTACATATATTGTTCTAATGTTTTCCTTTTCTTTATTTTCAGATATTAAGGCAACTATTGCGACCCTCATTAGCTGCACAAGGACCAACGGTAAGTAGAATCATCAATCTCCAAAGACCGGTTCTTTTCATACTAACACTAACAATCTCTTTCCTCCTACTACGAATTTTTAAACCATTTTATTTTCAAGTACAAATGCCCAGACCCGGATATTAGGGGCAGTGTTAGGGGGTCGCCAAAATCATCATTAGATAATACCTATTTACAGTAAAAAAGAAAGAGCTATAAAAATCTCTTCAGACACATTATACCCTATGATTGATCGGGCATGCTTTAAAATCCCTACCTGAATTAATTTAAATAATAAAAAATATATATATAAAATCCGTCATAGAGCGTAGAGGGAGAGGGGGTAGGAGAAGGAAGACATACGAAGTTACTGCTATTATAATAAAAAATCGTATGTTCAGTCCTGCAAATGCCCTCGCATGGAAGGCGATGCACGGGATCGGCCCGGAGGCCATACACCGCGCGGTTCGCCCCCTATTTCGGTCCGCCCTGAAAAGGGCAGGTACCTCTGCGGGTTGGAGGTACGTCTCGTAGACATTCGAGACGCACCCCCCAGACAAGGCGGAGGCGTGCAATGCCCGACCAGTGCTTAAACCGGACAAGCTTCCACTGACTAGAGACCGGAGATGCGCAACTGTGCAATCTCTAACCAATCTGTTTGGGAGGATCCACACGGGCAGAACCCTTATCGTGGATCCCCCCCTCCCCCCAAGTTCGATGCGCCACAGAAGACCACTCGTCACGTCAGCTCCGAGGAGCAGACAGGGCGATTCCGGCCGGTCGATGGTTCGCACCCCCTCTCGTCCTGCAAATGGCAAAATAAATATTTTTTCATGTCAATTTGAGCAATTAATAGCTGTCATTTTGTTTTTAAGACGTACAACGTAGGCAACAGTTGCGGATCACATTTTGATAGATTTATTACTTTTTAATTATTAACATTTCTCTTACAGAAATCGGCGAAGCCATCAAGGTGTTCATCAAAATCATGAGGACAAACAGTTTCTCGGAGAGTATCATAATCATCAAGAAGGTCACCGGGCAATCTCGTGAGTTGATTTTTATCTGTGAAAAAATGTTCATAAGTCGGCCTTTAAAACTGACTTTCCACGATCTGTGAAATTTCAGTCAGTCGCACACAATAGAGCGTAACATAAGTATGATCTATGGTGGTATAGACCAATTACTCATTGTACTGTCTCTAATAGAAATAATCTTTTTCTTTTCGATTTTCAGAACTGAGATACGCTTTGGAGGAACTAACTCAAGTCGCCAACAGATCCAGTAAGTATCAAATTGTATTTTTTTCATTTTCATCATAAACCTTTTTACATTCCATCTGCAGGGACTCAGGCCTTCCTCATGGATGGTTAAAGATGACGGCCCATGAATATACACGCAGGCCCAATGCGGATTGGAGGGTATTAATGACTGCAAATGCAACCGGGACCAACGGCTTTCCAATACACAGAGTAGCTCGAGATAATAATTGTTAGTCACCCATCCCGTGACCGACCCATGCGAAAGTCGCTTAATAACAACGACCGTGGGCTACGGCGTTAATTTACTACACCACCGAGCTACTCTCTCTTTCTTTTCATTTAACTATAAATTTCCTAGCATAAATATTGTATGGTACAATACTGATTGCTAAAAAAATCGTCTACTGTAAAATCAATAGCGATTTGATTTAAATCTAAAACACTCTTTACCATTTGATTTTAAATCTTATTGCGTGGAAAGCAGAATCCAAAATTGATTGCGAAAATATTGCATTGTATATATATATTTTTTACTTTCAGGCCTTTTAGTCATTGTTGAGAGCTTGTATCGCATCTGTGGACGCGACAATTTGGAACAATGCCTAGTCGTTTTCCAATCGGTCTTCAAATTGGACAGTAAGTATTTTCGTATAAAAACATATTAAAACTACAGGACATAAGGCAAGGGAAAAACAAACAATTATTAATTAGACATTTCCAGAAAACCGAATTGGGAATGTTCATCTTATTAAAAAATGAAACAAAAGACATGAAATGAGAAATTCATTGTAGACCGATTTTTAAAATTCTACATATGAAAAATCATACGCGGGTACTAGGCTTTTTTACGCGAGTGAAGTCGCCAGATAACAGTGATTAAAAAAAATCGACGAATATCTACACGTTTTTTTAAATATGCGAAATTATTAAATATTATAAAGCTTTTAGCTTTTGAATTTTAATATTTGTCTGTGAATAATGTTGTCTTGCTTAATATATTGTGTTTTTTCTAGCCATCGTACAAGTAATACAGAGAGTCAACATTGTAACCAAAAGGACTGACTCGTTGACGGTTCTAGAATCTTTGCTCGACGTCACCAAGACGACAAAGATTCAAGATGCCAACACTATTCTCAAGGAATTAGTTCCTAAACATCCATGTAAGTATAAAAGATGTTAAAATCATACTATAATCAGAAAGAAAGAAAATAATATTAATCACTACAACAAATAGACTCTTAGTTTAATACTGCGACCCCCATGGGTCGCAACTTACAGATTGAGAAACGATGCTATAAGCAAATGCTTAAAAAAGTATTTATATTGAACAGAGAACCATGAACTAGCTTCTATATTATTTATTCAATTAAAGTAAACGATTAATTTAATTTTCAGCTATGAACATTCTTGATATCTTGCAACAAATCAGAATAAAATCTGGCCATGACGATATCATTGACTTCTTCAAACAGCTCTGCAAATATACTGGAACTAAAAGTAAGTACAAAATATAAAATATAGGTTTTTCCGCTGTTTGTACGCTGAGTGATCTTATAAACTACACAAAGGATTTTAATGCGGATTTAAGTGGAAGGTTTATATATGTGTGGCACATCTGTTTTATAATCTTTGTCGACAATGGCGCTGAACTAATTCAATAATAAGTTCAGCGCCATCTATTGGTAACAGAAAGGACAAATACGAGGTCCCAGCAGAGTCGCTCATACGCCACTTTTACAGTGTCGTAATGTTATCCGAGGTACCTGGGAATAGAGATGACGGCTGGGTAAAAATAAAAAAAAAACTATTTAGTTCTTCAGTCAGATAGAAAAGATAATAGAAAAATATTAGATACGTATTTTTTCTTTTTACTTTAATTTAACAAGCAAGAGCTTAGATAACAGGCATTAAAGTTGAGGAGCGGGGGCTCGCTACGTCGCAGTTTTGTAGAAAATGTACAAAAGCGACTCAATAAACAACTCATATTCTATTTATACTTTTTCGTATTTGTATTGATATCTAAATTTCGAACTTTGCAAATTTCAGTTTTATAATATGTTACTTAAAAGGAACGGAAATTACTGTCTTTGGTCCCATCATTTCCCGCAAAAATCAACTTTTGTTAGAGTCGCCATCTAGTGGAGGTGCTTTTTTAGTGCTTTCGTTTTTTTTTTAAACTCCACATTTGATGATTACGATAAAAATACGTGTTTAATATTTTTCAACAAGCTACCTGACGGACAGACAAACAGAAATGTTAACAAATGAAAGAAAAAAAAAGACGATGTAGTTGAGTCTGTTTGACGAAATAAGTTCTGATCATAACGTCTCCACTTTTATTGCAAAGGAATAATAAAATAAATCTTATTATAATATTTTCGTTATTAGAGATTTCCATAGTCAAGAGATATGAGCAATTAATCCAATATTTACTTTGTTATTTTATTTTGCAGCGATACAGCAAGCTTGGGTGGTCATCACTCGAGTTACAAAGATCACTGGTAATTATACAAAGCTTTCTCGTTTAAAAGACATGCGATATGGATTTTAATATTTATACTCCATTTATTTCAAATTCAGCTTTTAAGTTAATATTATCTGTCTATATAGCCACGCCGGATCCCTTAAGGGATCCTTGCATAAATATTTCGTCTCTTTCTTTCGTCATTTTAATGGCTTCTGACGGCACACGCGATCTTAATTGTGAAAGGTGTGCCTTGCCCTTAGAATAATTTATTTATGAATCTATTATAACTTATAAGAAATCTTTATCGATTATTATTTCACAGATATTCTCGACCTATTCACCAATTTGAGGAAATTCACCAAAGTGGACTTCATCCAATTCATCACCACTGTTATTAGAATAACGAGAACCACAACATTCCAAGAGGCAATTGAGAAAATCAACAAAGTCACCAACGCTTCCCGTGAGTATTGCTTTATGGAACCGGATCCGTTCCTTTTTTTTGGGGATCTCAAACGGATCCTCAATATATAAAGATCTCATTAATTTAGGTAGCCATTTTTTTATTTAAAATCGGTATCTGTTTATGCGGATCCGCTTATTAATTATCCGTAGCCATGAATAAATTATCGCTATAATACACGAGTAATTAATGACTCATATAGATGGTTGTATTCTTTTATATACAAATGTAGAAATAAATTTAATAAAGATACGGTAGGTATTACTTGAATAATGACCTATAATAAAATTGCTAATTAAAGAAACTGTAACTTTAAAATATCATATTTTGTTTGCATTTTAAAGAAAAAGTATTAGTCTTTAAATATCTTTTAAGAATTAAAACAATTGTTTTTAATTTATCGCAAATTCAGCGCAACCTTATCGAAGAGCTATGCCCACATTAGATGGTGTAGTTTAAGAGTGAGATAAAAAATGTTATGCAGTAGGATATCTTGTCGGATAGAATAATTACCTTTTCCTTATTCACAGATATCGTCGAAGCCTTAGAAATCATCTATAACATCATTCACGTTGGTGAGTAAAACCTTATTTTTAAAGAAATTATTTTTTCTTTACCATCTTATTAAATCACCAAGGATGAAGTCATATAGCACAGACACAAGTAAAGGTTGCAGCGTGTAACCTAATATTATGGGAGGAGATGCATGTCTGTGTGTTTTTTTTCTCTCTCTCTATTTATAATGTATTGATCTGGTAATGACATGGTTTTTGTAAATGTCATTACTCCTATTAGAGCTGGTGAGTTTCTTGCTCGTTCTTCTTATCAGCCAAAAGACGTCCTGAACGAGCGGTAGGGAAAGAAATGTTGGACGATTCAAAAGTACTTTTAAGAAGTCTATTTAAATAAAGATTATTTTGACTTTGAATATAAAGTCAAGTACACACAACAAATGTAAACCGTTAGGTATACAGAGGATCCGATCTCCATTAGTAAATGCAACCTATGCCCTTTACCAGATCTCAAACTGCCACACATTTTATCACAATCGAAATGTGCATACTGATTTGTTTCTTTTTTGCAGATGTAATCGCTTTCTTCACTAAGATCTTCTCCTACAGCAAGACCATAGGTAAGAAAATACACTTTTTATCCCCCTCGACAGACGGTACAGTACGGATAGCTAGTTCTAATAAATAAATAGTTTATCTACTAATATGTACAACGTGTCTCTTGCAGAATTCGAAGAAATCATCACGATCATTAAGAAGTACACCAAAACCACATGTGAGTAATATTATATTTACAATAAAATTATTATAGATTGAGAAATTAAACCCCCTCTACCCAGTCTTTGTAAGAAAAAGAATAAGTGAAGCCTTCTCACTCTATGTAAGAAATATTTATAATCGCCCTTTTCAATAAACATTATAGAATAGTTTAGAAATTTATAAGTAATATTATATTTACAATAAAATTATTATAGATTGAGAAATTAAACCCCCTGTACCCAGTCTTTGTAAGAAAAAGAATAAGTAAAGTCTTCTCACTCTATGTAAGAAATATTTATAATCGCCCTTTTCAATAAACAATATAGAATAGGTTAGAAATTTATAAGTAATATTATATTTACAATAAAATAATTATAGATTGAGAAATTAAACCCCCTCTACCCAGTCTTTGTAAGAAAAAGAATAAGTGAAGCCTTCTCACTCTATGTAAGAAATATTTATAATCGCCCTTTTCAATAAACATTATAGAATAGGTTAGAAATTTATAAGTTATATTATATTTACAATAAAATAATTATAGATTGAGAAATTAAACCCCCTCTACCCAGTCTTTGTAAGAAAAAGAATAAGTGAAGCCTTCTCACTCTATGTAAGAAGTATTTATAATCGCCCTTTTCAATAAACATTATAGAATAGGTTAGAAATTTATAAGTAATATTATATTTACAATAAAATAATTATAGATTGAGAAATTAAACCCCCTCTACCCAGTCTTTGTAAGAAAAAGAATAAGTGAAGCCTTCTCACTCTATGTAAGAAATATTTATAATCGCCCTTTTCAATAAACATTATAGAATAGGTTAGAAATTTATAAGTAATATTATATTTACAATAACATTATTATAGATTGAGAAATTAAACCCCCTCTACCCAATCTTTGTAAGAAAAAGAATAAGTGAAGTCTTCTCACTCTATGTAAGAATTATTTATAATCGCCCTTTTCAATAAACATTATAGAATAGGTTAGAAATTTATAAGTAATATTATATTTACAATAAAATTATTATAGATTGAGAAATTAAAACCCCTCTACCCAGTCTTTGTAAGAAAAAGAATTAGTGAAGCTCTCTCACTCTATGTAAGAAATATTTATAATCGGTTCAATAAACATTATAGAATAGAATAGAAAATTATTTATTTAGCACCAAATTACAAGTATACAACATTGATAGTATGATAATAGAAAATCCTAAATTAGGTACTAAAAAGGTCTCCGCACAGCAATATGCCGCAGTGTTTAAGCTACGGCACTGATTTTCAGCGGATACCTTAATTAAATAAATAAACAAACTAATTTTTTTTTAAATAAAATAAGATAAGGAGGAGCACGTAAAGCATCACATACAATAGGGATGATGACTAATTTTTGTTTGTTTGTCCGTCAGGTAGAGTGTTAAAAAATATTAAACACGTATTTTTTATATTTTTTCGTATTAATAAAATTACGGCGTTACATTGAGTTGAAATTTCGCATGACGTCACGCTATACAAAACTGTGACGTAGCGATCCCTCACTCCTCAACTTTAATGCAAGTTATCTCTACTATTTCTTGTTAAATTGAAGTAAAAAAAAATACGTATCTAATATTTTTCTATTATCTGACTGACGGACTAAATAGAATTGCATTTTTTTTACCTTAAAGATTAAAAAAATATGTGATGACTTAAAAATTTCAATGATATAAAAGTAATAATTAAATATTTATGATTATAAAATAAAAAAAACATAATTCCCAAACACAGCATCAATATAAGTATACATCTATGAATATTCATTAGATAATCCTTAAATTTGGTCTTAAACCTAATAGGGGGAGGGATATTGTTCCAACATTTTGTTGCAGAATAGCTAAAACTGCCACGGAAAGCAGCCGTGTTATATTTCGGACAAATCAAACGCAAAGCGGTTCCAATTGTGTTTTAAACAAAATTATTTTTTTTCCACGGTAATCCTAAAATAATCATAACTGCAGGTTATTGTAACTTTATTCAGGAATAATATATAGACATGGTTTACCCCAAAGTTTAGTTTCCCGACCCTCAGTTTCCCAATTCAGTGATTTGTACAAGCTTTTTTTTTTAATATTATTCATTCTGTAATATTACTATGTGCTAGGACTTCGTGGGCTGGTGAGTTAATGATACTGACCAATTTTTGATGATACTTTAAATGATTATATCAATTTTATTTTTAATACGTGGCATTTGAAAAAGAGTAAGAAAATTATTTATTCAGTGACCGTACAAGAAAACAAAAAAAGAGACCGAATCTTAAGGAAATACGTGGTTTAATACGTCCCATGAAATAAAAATGCAATATAAATATATACAGTATAAAATATCTTATTTATAAATACGATCAATACACTATAAATGTAATATAAATATTCTAATAAGTCATGTGCAGAGTTCTTACTCCCTTGAAAATCAGAAAGCAGGTTACAATCAAAAGCTTTTAACCGATTGTAGATTAAGTAAGATTTTTTAAATTATATTTAATATTCCCATTCCTATAACAACTTCTTATCGGGGAGGTATGTTATTCCAACATTACGTGGCTGAGTACCAAAAGCTGCCACGAAATGCACCTGAGAACAACTATGAGCAAATCAGGCGTGAAGCAAGTCTAATTTTCCATTGTTATAATGAGAGCTTACTAAATAGCTAAAAGGAAAATGAAAATAACGCCTAGACTGCATATTTAATAAATTCCCTTTATGCAGATATGGGGATTTTTTGCCCCTCCCCCGTCCTAGTCACAGCTGGTCACATTTGTAAGACTCCCCCCTCCTAGTGTGATGTCACATATTTTGCAAGGTTTTGTAAAGTAATAATTTAAAGTTCGTGTTTTAACACTTAGATTATAACAGATTTTGAAATGTGACGTCACGAAATTTAGGACCCTCCCACCCCCTTGTCACACAATGTCACACTTCGTCGACCCCCTCCCTCCCCCTTAACGTGTGACGTAATTTATGGATGGCCCCTATGGCGTAATGTGGGCTCTACGTGGAATGTTAAAACAAACTCGGACACATGCATTCTGGACGCGCTTTATGAGTTTTTTAGTATAATTAAAGAGATGTTCACCCATAACTACGTCTGTGTAGTTCAATTTACTTAATATCAATAGAAGCGTACATGGCATTCATACGATCAGAGGTGTTCAAAACGATTAACTGCGCGGCCGGCCACGGTCTCGTTTCGTTCGTTCGTTTGGTCGTAAATTCGTTTTAAAATTTTTACCGCCTTTGCGTATATCTACAGCAGTGTTAATCTAATTTAAACACCACTATAGACGGTGTCACCTTTTTTAAAATTTTAAAAGGGATTAGGCTCATACAGCCATACTTGTTAGCGTCGTATATATATATTTATTTATAACATTATATACATATGTAAATGGTTTATATTTTATAGTGTTGTTTATTTTGAATTTATTTTTGTGTATATATAATAACCAGTGGTCGGAATTAGGTAGAGTTATTCATGTACTTACACTGATTTCATACAGCGAAAGAATAAATTGGATATGCCTCAAATCCCGAGATTAATTTTAAAGAGCAGAAAAAATCCCGTGATTTTTTAAATAAAAAGTTATTTACTTTTACACAATTTAAACTACTGCACGCACGACGTTTCCAAACTTACATCAATGAAAGAAAGAAATAAAGAAATCCCGGGAAGGTCCACATTAATATCAACATTTCGATCCAAGTACATAAATAACTCTACCTAATTCCGACCTCTGATAATAACAATCACACTTTAATAGTAATGAGGCACACAACACACTTGGGAAAGGAACACCATAGAATCTGTCAAAACATCACCTTCGTTGCTGTGTAGGACTAAGTTTAAGACAGAAATGGCATTTGCTGTGACAGGGACCTAATTGATCTTCATTCACGTGATGCGTTGTGATTGTTTTGTTATAATTATAATTTTGTGTTTGAATTTCAATAAAATATTTTGTATCTCTATAACACTGAATTCACATGTCGTTATAAAATTGTAATACCTGCAATCGCTAAAAGTATAACAGCTGATAATTTTTAAACGAATTGAGTGTCGTTCCATTAGTAAAAGTTTTTCGGTAAAGTAAAGTCATCCACCCCACGAAGTTCGGGCACATATCTAATAATATACATTTTATACTAACTCAACCAGACCTGAGACGCCTATACTGATTTTTACATACCTTATAACTTTCGTCCACAGCTTTCATCGAAGCTTTGAGGGTCCTAAAATCCAGTCGTGTCGGTAAGTCATTACTTTCATGAATATAAAAAAAAAAAACTATTTCATTCTGAATGGATCCCACGACATACATGTTTTGCCCCACAGATATCATAAAGACCATCGAAAAAATCATTAAAAAGAGAGAGAAGGTAATCATTGAAGAATACGACTACTACAGCGACGAAGAACCAGACCAACCTGGTCATTCTCATCATCCGCACCATCCAGGACATCATCACGGAAAACCAAAACACCCGCATCATCCACATGAGCCTAATCAACCACAACAACCACATGGACCCACTAAACCACAGCAGCCAGAGCAACCACATGGACCACATGAACCCACTAAACCACAACAGCCGGAGCAACCACATGGACCACATGGACCCACTAAACCACAGCAGCCGGAGAAACCACATGGGCCACATGGACCCGCTAAACCACAACAGCCAGAGCAACCACATGGACCACATAAACCACATGGACCCACTAAACCACATCAGCCGGAGCAACCACATGGACCAAATAAACCACATGGACCCACTAAACCACAGCAGCCGGAGAAACCACATGGACCACATAAACCACATGGACCCACTAAACCACAACAGCCGGAACAACCACATGGACCACATAAACCACACGGGCCACATGGACCCACTAAACCACAGCAGCCGCAGCAACCACATGGACCACATGGACCCACTAAACCACAACAGCCGGAGCAACCACATGGACCACAAAAACCGCATGAGCCT